CACTCACTCTTTTCCCCTCATCAATTTTATGATTCACCTCATCTGTCACAGACCCATCCGCTGACACGTCCACTCCCAAATATCTGAATACATTCACCTCCTCCATACCCCCTCCCTCCAATCTGATATTCAATCTTTCATCACCTAATCTTTTTGTTATCCTCATAACCTTACTCTTTCCTGTATTCACCTTTAATTTTCTTCTTTTGCACACCCTACCAAAATTCACCACCAATCTCTGCAACTTCTTTTCAGAATCCCCCAAAGAGCACAGTGCATCAGCAAAGAGCAGCTGTGACAACTCCCACTTTGTGGGGTGATTCTTTATCTTTTAACTCCGCCTTTGCCAAGACCCTCGCATTTACTTCTCTTACAACCCCATCTATAAATATTAAACAACCACGGTGACATCACACATCCTTGTCTAAGGCCTACTTTTACTGGGAAAAATTTCCCTCTTTCCTACATACTCTAACTTGAGCCTCACTATCCTCGTAAAAAACTCTTCACTGCTTTCAGTAACCTACCTCCTACACCATTACACTTGCAACTCTGCCCCCATTGCCCCCTATCCACCCTGTCATACGCTTTTCCAAATCCATAAATGCCCCAAAGACCTCTTTAGCCTTATCTAAATACTGTTCACTTATATGTTTCACTGTAAACACCTGGTCCACACCCCCCCTACCTTTCCTAAAGCCTCCTTGTTCATCTGCTATCCTATTCTCCGTCTTACTCTTAATTCTTTTAATAATAACTCTACCATACACTTTACCAGGTATACTCAGCAGACTTATCCCCCTATAATTTTTGCACTCTCTTTTATTCCCTTTGCCTTTATACAAAGGAACTATGCATGCTCTCTGCCAATCCCTAGGTACCTTACCCTCTTCCATACATTTATTAAATAATTGCACCAACCACTCCAAAACTATATCCCCACCTGCTTTTAACATTTCTATCTTTATCCCATCAATCATAATAATAATAAATAATCAATGAGGTACGTGAAATGTCGTATATTGCGTTAATATAAACATTTTCATTAATCGATCCATGATATTTTTTCAAAATTATGTAATAAACACACTACATAACATATAAATATGATAAATACACCCCACAGTAGAATAAATTAATATAAATATGAGATGTTAGGTGTAGATGACAGTGTATCAGCCATAACCAGATTCATTCGTCTGTTTAGATCCTCTGCAGCTCTGTCCTCTCTTACTCGTTCTCTCTTATTTATTTGTTTTACCTCGTTTACTCGTCTCTCACTCTACATTAAGACTACAAATATTTTAAGATATGTAATGAGTGTACTGTGCGTATTTCACTTTTTATTTTTTTAATGCTTAGTTCCATTGTTAACTTATGTTAGTGTAAACTTGTCTGGCATTTATATGCATTTATAAATGGAAAAAATGGTGTTCTGCTTTCCAGCGGTAACCTAGAACCTAACCTGCCATATAAGTGGGGCCCTACTGTAGTTAGTAAGAATTAGTATTAATCTGCCTTGGCATGCTAGTGGCTTTCTTTGTAATTAATTTCTTATAATATGTAAACCACACATTGTAAGCTTTGCAAGGAAATAAAAATTTTAATTTTCATGCAGTTAATCAGCTCATTTATTTTATTTTTAACACTCATACAGTTAGTATAGTAAACCTTAAGGGAGCTAGTTACTCACTTCCCTCCACTGTCTCTTTGTATGTTGACCAGTTCCATTGTGTTTATTAGTAACTTTGATGAATAATGTCTTCTGAACATGTCCCTGAGGTATCCTAGTAATATCTGTTGTTTTCATCCCTTGTGCCACAACCTATTTCCCACACACAACCATACCTCTATCTTCTGTTAGTTTGAAGTCCTAAACAACTCGGCAACCACCCCCTCGATCAAGTTGGCTAACGTTACCACTTCTGCCCCAGAGATATGTATCCCATCTCTTGCATACGTATCATGTTTGCCTTAGAACTTGTTACAGTTATCAATGAATGGGATTGCAAATTTCTTGCAGTTTACACCAGTTGCCTTAGACATCCATTCATTACCCACTGCCCTTCTAGGCAAGATGCGACATATGATCGGGACCCTTCCCTTAGACCTAATTAAATCTATAGCTGTCCTGTAATTATCTAGCAGTTCCTGTCTCCTGCTCTTCCCAATATCATTTCCACCAGCATTGGCTGACATATTATCCAACCTGTTGACTACTCTCTCTTATCTGTTACAGAAAGCATTGTCCATATATCTTACCTGCAAGTCACTGACCACCAGAATATTCCTACCTTTATTAGCAGGAGAATTGGTGATACTTTTAACCTCACTGACCACTGAAGTATTCATCCTGGAGAACAGAAGTGATTTCCTACCTTCAAAAATTCTTTAAACCTTCCATATATTGATGTTACTTCCTTTACTGGGAACCACTTCCCACTTGTTATGGCTGCCAGGCTGCTCCTCACTGCTGGTAGCCTGTTTTCCTTCGTTCACATGAACCACTTCACATTCATTGCTATATTTATCCAGGTGAATTTTCAACTTTTCATTATTAAGAAAAACCATCTCCTTTAACACCTTGGCTTCAAATTCTAAAACCCTACAGATGCATGCCATGCTGCACTCTAACACTCCACACTACTCTCCCAAACAGTTCAGGTCAGGTATGACAACTGACCTTAGTGTACTGAAAAGTATTAAAATTTACCATGTAACATACCATGCAAATAAAAAGATGTAGTTAGATTACAACTGAGATTATCACAGAATAGTTTGAAAGCACACAGCACATCTGTAGGATTACTAGAAGACGCAGAATCCTTCTTATTCTGGACAACTGTTTAGCCCACCCCAAATTGATTTTGATGGAATTTCTATTTAGCAGTAACTGATTGATAAATAAATTTTCTTGATAAAAAAATTTTTTAATCCTGTTTCACTGATACAGGTACATATACAGTACCTTGCACAGTAGAGTATTAATAAATGTATAATTTATTCTAATGTACAGGTACTGTATCAGTATTTCATCTAATTAACCCTTAATATTTCTTTAAGGTTCTAGCAGTCCATGGTGCTTTAGAGACATATGGGAAGTGTATAACTGTGGGTTAGTGTTGTTGAAGGAAACTACGTTTTTTTGGTAAAATAGTTAATCCAGCAAAGCTTTGGAACAAGGGATGCCAGAAAATTGGTGGTGTACCTGTACTATATAGAAAGCCCCTGGCTATGCAGAGTATTTATAGCAACTTTGGTTAATTTAATCCCTCAGGATGTATCCCACATCAGCCAACTAACACCCAGGTACCTGCTTACAGCTAGGTGAACAGAGATCAAACCATGGACCTCAAGTGAGCTACTATGCTTTAATATGCCTGGTAGGCAACACAGTTGCCTCGTACAGTGTGTCTGTGGTTCAATCCCCGGCTGGGTGGAAACATTGGGCATGTTTTCTCAAGACACCTGCTGTCCCTGTTCATCTAGCAGTAAGTAGGTACCTGGGAGTCTGTCGACTGGTGTGGGTTGCATCCTGGGGGACAAGGTTGAAGGACCCAAATAGAAATAAGACAATCCTCAGTGACTCAGTCTTGGACTATCCTGAGTGACTAACCCTATTCGTTTAAAAATCTGAGCAAAATCTTCTCTTATCTCACACATGCAATGCACCATAATAAATAAATAAGCTCTCAGCAAACAATACTCGGTACTTAGAAGTTAACCCTTTGACTGTCGCAACCCCCAATCCTGAGGTGTCTCCTGGTGTCGCAAAATTTAAAAAAAAAAATATTATTTTTCTTATGAAATGATAGAGAATCTTTTCCCGATTGTAATGACATAAAAAAAAACGAAATTTGATGGAAAACTGACGGAATTATGCTCTCGCGAAGTTAGCGACCTTGGCGCTGTTTACAAATTGGCGATTTCGCCCACTTTGAGCCCTATTTTCGGCTAATTCTATTGTTCCAGTCGCCCAAACTCATAGCTATTTCTTTAGAACTCCATTTTTTCTATCGATTGAGTACAAGAAACTGCTCATTTACCGATTTCAACTAATAATGTGGTCAGAAATTTGCAATTTGGCCAATTTCACGAAAACTAAAAAATATGACAATTTCAAAATAAGGTCCAGAATGAACAATGCAGAAATTCCTGGCTCTGAAATAACATTTTCTTTGTTCATCAGTCATGTCTCCAAGCCCCTCTGAATTTTGAATTTTTATTCAAACAAAAAATAGAAGACTTACTATTATGCAGACTACTGCAATACTGTAATAATTGTATAAATAACATCAACCCATTCATGACTGCATATTAGAATGGCTAGTTGGACATTTATTGGACAATGACATCATTTGTTTACTTTTGAACATTGGCAAAAATCAAACATTTCCCCTACTTTGAGCTCCATTTCTAGGTTCTTTTTATAGTAAAATCAATCAAAATCACCTCTATGTCTATAATATGTTTTCCATTCTATCAAATGAGACCAAGAAAATGAGAATACAACCATAAATACTATACGAAAATAGACCACAAAGTCGGCATTTTAATTAAAAAAAACGGTCGGAGTTTTTTTTTTCTCATTATGCACTGCGTGCTCCAGGATTTTTTTTATATGGTGCACACTGACCACACAGACCCATTCTCTCACATGTGGGCCTACCAGCTTTCTCCTGCTTGATTTGAAGCCGCTAGAATTTATGAGTAGTATATGTACGTCAAACACGGTACCTCGTAAGACGTATATATACGGCCGCTACAGTCAAAGGGTTAATAAACTGGCATTTTTTTACTTTTTTCTTGTTTATTCACATTATTTTTTTTTTCTCAATGGAAAAATTGAAATAACAGCACCTTTAATCCCCAAGGGTGCCACTATTCAGAAAATTTACTGTATGCAGTTGAGCCTCAGTTATCGATTGCATTACTTGTTGAATAAATCAATTTTCGAATGAAGTGTTCGAGAAAATATCCTGATTTTGTATCTCTTGGTTGTCAACAGACAAGTTTTTGCATGTATGGAACAGGACAAAGCTGCTGAGGTCACATGATCACGGAATGGACACTGGTCGAGAGCTTGGGTATGAGTCAGTTTAGCCACCTACTTGTGTGCTATAAACATCCCTTGAGCTTTTGTTGCACATCTTGTGAATTTTTTTTTTATTTTGCAGTTTTAATGCAGTTTTTTTTTTTTGAGATAAGCCATCATGAGTCCAAAGAAGGATAAAGAGATGAAAGTAAAAAGAAAAGTTGTAAAAAGCACTGTTGAGTTCAAAAAAGAAGTCATTAGAAAATATGAAGAAGATAGACTCCGTGTGGTTGATATAGCAAAGCTTTTTGGTAAATCAAAGTCTACCATTAGCACGATATTGGGCCAAAGGGAAAAAATTAAAGCAGCTGACCTTGCAAAAGGTGCAAAAGTGATATCAAAGCAAAGGCCACAAATTATTGAGGAGGTTGAAAAACTCTTGTTGATTTGGATAAATGAAAAACAGTTACAAGGTGATAGTGTTTCAGAGGCCATTATTTGTAAAAAAGCTAGGCAGTTGCATGATGACCTGAAAACAAGAAACAGAACAAGTGCTGAAACTCAGTCCTTCAAGGCTAGTAGAGGTTGGTTTGAGAATTTTAAGAAAAGGAGTGGCATTCATAGTGTGGCTAGGCATGGGGAGGCTGCCAGTGCTGACAAAGTGGCTGTTGAAAGGTATGTAACTGAATTCCAAGAGTATGTAGAGGCTGAGGGGTTTGTCCCCCAACAAGTGTTTAATTGTGACGAGACAGGCCTCTTCTGGAAGAAAATGCCCAAGAAGACCTACATAACTGCAGAAGAAAAGTCAGTGGCAGGACACACGCCAATGAAAGACAGGCTCACCCTGTTATTGTGTGGTAATGCAAGTGGAGACTTGAAACTGAAGCCCTTGCTTGTTTATCATTCTGAAAATCCACAAGTTTTTAAGAACAACAATGTTATGAAAAATAAATTAGCTGTAATGTGGAGGGCCAACACGAAAGCTTGGGTAACAAGACAATTTTTTATTGAGTGGGTTCATGAGGTCTTTGTTCCCACTGTCAAAAAGTACCTCATTACAAAACAATTGCCACTCAGGGCCCTTTTACTTATGGATAATGCTCCTGCTCACCCTCCAAACTTGGAAAATGAATTGCTGGAGTTCAGTTTTATAACTGTGAAGTTCTTGCCACCTAACACCACTCCTCTCATCCAGCCCATGGACCAGCAAGTCATTTCTAAATTCAAGAAACTCTACACCAAAGCACTCTTTGAAAGGTGCATTGAAGTCACTTCAACAACAAATTTAACCCTCAGTGAGTTCTGGAAGGACCATTTCAATATTCTCACCTGCTTGAGGCTTATAGACAAAGCCTGGCAGAATGTGTCTTCCAGGACCATGCAGTTAGCATGGAAGAAATTGTGGCCTGACTTTGTGGCAGCCAGGGATTCTGAAGGCTTTGAGGAAGAGCCCGAGTCAGTAGAGGATATTGTATCCCTGGGGAAGATCTTGGGCCTAGAGGTGACTGAAGATGATGTGGAGGAGTTGGTGGAGGAGCATAGAACTGAACTCACCACAGAAGAACTTCTAGACCTTCAGAAGGAGGAGCAGCAGATTGCAGTGGAGGAGCTGTCATCATCCTCCCTCCATTCCTCCACCTACTGCTTCCAGCATGCCATTAGCTCTCCTCTGACAGGTAAGGGGCAGTTAAATTTTTGTTGACTCTTCAGTATTTCAGAATTTTAAATTTTCATTTAGTACATGTATTCATTTTTAGTTTCCCTGTGTTGTATAATTTTATACATTGTTTTATGTAGTAGTGCATTATTATTATATTTGTCATTTGGGGTCTGGAATGGATTAATTCTACTTACATTATTCTTTATGGGAAAAATTGCTTTGGTTGTCGAATTCACATCTAGAACGAATTAAATTCGAAAACAGAGGTTCCACCGTATACAGTGGAACCTTGGTTTTCGTATGCCCTAGTTTTTGTAGGATTTGGTTTTCAACGACTTTAATCATGGTAGGTAAGACACATAGGCAACAGTTAGGCAACTTTATTCTGAAACGTTTCGCCTACACAGTAGGCTTCTTCAGTCGAATACAGATAGTAGGCAGGAACATTAGACACTGCAACACAATGGCATCTTGGTACAGAAAACACCTTGGACAACTTTTTCAAGTGAGAAATGTTTGATCTGAGAGGGACGTGTCCTCTCAGTGGCTGCTTTCTCACTACTACTACTCTGCACCTTTCCTTCCGACAGTATTTAAGTCTCCGCACTGTCGCTTGATCTTCAGATAGTTCCTGACTATGGAACTGAACTTCTCCAGGCTGAGGGACTGACAACCTCAAATCTACGACTTTAAGGGTGATGGACTGATTACATCGTCTTCACATCTCTAAATGTTCCTGCCTACTATCTGTATTCGGCTGAAGAAGCCTACTGTGTAGGCGAAACGTTTCGGGATAAAGTTGCCTAACTGTTGCCTATGTGTCTTACCTACCAACCTGTCGGTATTGTATACCATTTTGACTTTAGTCATCAAAATTTTGTCCCAGTTTTTGAACATTCGCTCGGTTTTGGTAGAGTTGAAATTGGTTCGTACCAAACTTGTCCACCTGCCCGTGTGACTCAGCCACTTAAGCGCCCACACAAAGCATCCCATGTGTTCATAACTCAGTCTGCCTTTGTTTCTCGTTGAGTGAGCATCACCTTGTGCGTTCATCCAAAACATTTCGTAATACACTGTTTTTTGTGCTTGTTTATTGAGTGCAACTGCTAAATAAGCCACCATGGGGCCAAAGAAAGTTCCAAGTGCCAGTCCTTTGATAAAGGATAAAGAAGGCGAGAAACATGATAGAATTCAAGAAAGAACTCATAGCAAAGTACAAAAGTGGTGTACGCATGGCCGATCTCACCAGGATGTATGGGAAGTCCGCATTAATGATCAGTTCCATCCTGGTGAAGATAAAAAAATCAAGGAAGCTGATGCTGCAAAAGGTATAAATTTACTAACGAAACAGATTGCAAACAATCGAAGATGTTGAGAAGTTGTTGTTGATGTGGATCAACAAGAAACAGCTAGCAGGAGATAGTGTTTTGGAGGCAATAATTTGCGAAAAGGCAAGGCAGTTGCAAACTGTATCTGCAACATGTACAATGACAAATGTCTTGTCCCATTTTAGGTAAATCTTAGAGATGCCAGAAACAAACCTCTCTGGACAGATTTTTTGTGCAACAGGAGTCCTGCTACTCTCAAGCTGGTCCTAGTGCCAGTAAAAGACAAAGAAAGGAAGTAACCCTGGATAGGGCCTTGATACCTGAATTCCTTATAGATGGGGATTTCCCTTCCAAACAATAACCTCTGCTCCTCCCTCTCCCCTCCTTGCCATCTTCCATACACCAACAAGAGTCATCAGTAAAGGTAAAAGTGATGTTAAATGTTCATTTATCCATTTATTAGTCATTTATATTTATTTCTCATTGTTTTCTGTATGTAAAATTATAGTTATTCTGTATATAATGTATTTTCTGTTAATATTTTTGGGTATCTGGAACGGATTAATTGGATGTACATTATTTCTTATGAGAAATCTTGCTTCTGTTTTCATACGATTCAGGTTTTGCCAGACATTTCCAAAAGGATTAATCACGAAAACCGAGGTTCCACTGTATATCTGTTCCTGGAACTTGTGTGTGTGTGTGTGTGTGTGTGTGTGTGTGTGTGTGTGTGTGTGTTGTGTGTGTGTGTGTGTGTGTGTGTGTGTGTGTGTGTGTGTGTGTTTTAAATCGTCCGTTACTGGCACTTCGATGCTCATTCAGGCGGACTGCAAGATATCTGACTGTTTCGCCTACATATTTCTTGGGACAGAATGCACAGGGGATGGTTTAGATGCCTGCTGTGGAAGTCAAAGGTGTGGGGCTATGTTTCATTGTGAGATCTTTGATAGATGATGTGTTTATGGTGGGTACATTGATGTTACTCATAAGAACATAAGAAAGGAGGAACACTGCAGGAGGCCTGTTGGCCCATGCTAGGCAGGTCCTTTACAATTCATCCCACTAACAAAACATTTGCCCAACCCAATTTTCAATGCTACCCAAGAAATAAACTCTGATGTGAAAGTCCCACTCAAATCCAACCCCTCCCACTCATGTACTTATCCAACCTAAATTTGAAACTACCCAAAGTCCTAGCCTCAATAACCCAATTAGGTAGACTGTCCCACTCATCAACTACCCTATTTCCAAACCAATACTTTCCTGTGTCCTTTCTAAATCTAAACTTATCTAATTTAAATCCATTACTGCGGGTTCTCTCTTGGAGAGATATCCTCAAGACCTTATTAATTTTTTTTTTTATTATCACACTGGCCGATTCCCACCAAGGCAGGGTGGCCCGAAAAAGAAAAACTTTCACCATCATTCACTCCATCACTGTCTTGCCAGAAGGGTGCTTTACACTACAGTTTTTAAACTGCAACATTAACACCCCTCCACATAAATACCTATCTTCCACTTATACACTTCGATCAGGTCTCCCCTCATTCTTCGTCTAACAAGTGAATGTAACTTAAGAGTCTTCAATCTTTCTTTGTAAGGAAGATTTCTAATGCTATGTATTAATTTAGTCATCCTGTGCTGAATGTTTTCTAATGAATTTATGTCCATTCTGTAATATGGAGGCCAGAATTGAGCTGCATAATCTAGGTGAGGCCTTACTAATGATGTATAAAGCTGCAGTATGACCTCTGGACTTCTGTTGCTTACACTTCTTGATATAAATCCCAGTAATCTATTTGCCTTATTACATACGCTTAGGCATTGCTGTCTTGGTTTAAGGTTGCTGCTCACCATAACCTCCAAGTCCTTTTTGCAATCTGTATGGCTAAGTTCTACATCATTTAACTTATAAGTGCTAGGGTTATGGACACTCCCGAGCTTCAGAACCTCGCTTTTATCTACATTGAACTGCATCTGCCACTTTTCTGACCAAGAATATAATTTGTTTAAATCCTCCTGAAGTTCCATAACATCTACGTTTGAATCAATTATCCTACCTATCTTTGTGTCATCGGCGAATTTGCTCATATCACTAGTAATTCCCTCATCAAGGTCATTGATATATATTATAAACAACAACGGGCCCAAGACTGATCCCTGTGGAGCGCCAATTGTTACAGATCCCCACTCGGATTTAACCCCATTTATGGACACACTCTGCTTTCTGTCTGTGAGCCATGACTCGATCCACGAGAGCACTCTTCCCCCAATGCCATGAGCTGCCACTTTCTTTAACAATCTTTGGTGCGGAACTCTATCAAAAGCCTTACTAAAATCTAAGTAAATAATATCAAACTCTTTATCGTGGTCAACAGCCTCAAAAGCTTTACTGAAGAAAGTTAATAAATTAGTTAGACAAGACTGGCCTCTTGTGAATCCATGCTGAGTATCATTAATCAAGCTATGCTTATCGAGATGGCTTCTTATAATCTCAGCTATAACTGACTCTAGTAATTTGCCTACAATTGAGGTCAGGCTTATTGGGCGGTAATTTGACGGTAACGACTTGTCCCCTGTTTTAAAAATAGGAATTACATTAGCCATCTTCCACATATCAGACACTACACCTGTTTGAAGAGATAAATTAAAAATATTAGTTAATGGTTCACAGAGTTCCATTTTGCATTCCTTAAGAACCCTTGAAAAAACCTCATCAGGGCCTGGCGACTTATTTTGCTTCAGTCTGTCTGCTTCACAACCATTTCACTAGTGACTGTGATGTTACATAATTTATCTTCTTCTAGCCCACTATAAAAATTAATTACTGGAATATTGTTAGTGTCTTCCTGTGTAAAAACCGAGAGAAAATAATTATTTAAAATCGAGCACATTTCATTCTCTTTGTCAGTAAGATGCCCATAGTTATTGTTAAGGGGACCTGTCTTATCTCTAACTTTTGTTCTATAGACCTGGAAAAAACTTTTTGGGTTAGTTTTAGAATCCCTAGCAACTTTAATTTCATAGTCCCTTTTAGCTTTTCTTATCCCCTTTTTAATGTCAATATACTGATTCATAAGATGACCCTCACCTCTTTTGATACGCCTATAAATTCCTTTCTTATGCCCTAGTAGATATTTGAGCCTATTATTCATCCATTTTGGGTCATTTCTATTTGATCTAATTTCTTTATACGGGATAAACGTTCTTTGAGCAGCATGTATAGTGTTCAGAAAACTGTCATATTGATAGCTCTCTTCGTTACCCCAGTCAACAGATGATAAGTGTTCTCTAAGCCCATCGTAATCTGCTAAGCGAAAATCTGGGACTGTTACTGAGTTATCGCTACTATCGTACTTCCATTCAATGCTAAATGTAATTGATTTGTGGTCGCTAGCACCCAGTTCCTCTGAAATTTCTAAATTATTAACAAGGGATTCATTGTTTGCCAGAACTAAGTCAAGCAGGTTATTTCCCCTTGTAGGTTCTGTCACAAACTGCTTCAAAAACAATCCTGAACTACTTCTAAGAAGTCGTATGATTTTAAATTCCCAGTCAAGAAATTCCAATCAATATGACTAAAGTTAGTCTCCTAGAATTACTACATTATCGTGCCTTGTGGCCTTAACAATTTCCTCCCATAGTAATCTCCCTTGGTCCCTATCTAAGTTTGGGGGACGGTATATCA